GTCTTTCGGTTGCTTATTTGGATGAAGCAGTAGGAGAAAGACGGGAAATTTGAAAGTAAAGTCGAAGAGAAAATGAAGAATTTCAACGGACTAGGGTTGTAAAGAAAGGGAGCAGATGCACGAACGCTTCTGTTTACAACACAGTCATATCACTCAGTGTCACAATGATTCCGAGGTCCATACCCAAGGAGCCAAAGACGACCTACATGACCTAATCCCTTTGTTAGAGTTATCATATTATGCCAAATCTTGTTTTGATCGCTCTTGGTTTTCTTCTACCCACTACCTGCCTCGGGAAACATCGCGTGCCGCAGCAATCTATTCGGTGACGTGCCAAAAACATGCCCCAACTAACGTAAGCTATGGAGGTAGATCACTTACTCCAGTGGACGACTGCGGTTACCTAAAACTCTGTGCCTAGCCACAGCATTGCTCGTCCGATTACCCCACCCGATTCATGCAATGGTGCGTAAATAGCGATGACCAAACACCATCACGACGAGACTACGCATTGATGTAGTGTGATGGTTTGTGTGCTTCCATGACCCTGCGAACGATGGCTTTTCGCAGCCGCAGATCTAATCACACCTGAAAGGTCAGTGGGTAGAGGCCAACTGCTTGGACACCTCCTAGCTTTCTTTGACTATACACGCTAGCCCCTGTAGAGGTCACTCCAGCAAATAAACACGGAGGGGAAGTTTACCGGCAAAATACCCCGCTAGATGGAGGTACCTTGGACAGCTCCCAGCCAAAAAAAGTGCTATCCCGCAGACGTTCCGCTTGTCTCAGTGGAACAGCAGATCGATAATCAACCCACCAGGCTTCTGTTCACAGGAGTTAATATATGTGGTTTCTGGTTCCACTCACCCCCCCCCTCCCAACCGTCGTTCCTGTTATCCCCACACTAAATGATTGTCCCTATCAGATGCAATTTGGATGATATTCATTCTGTTGTTCGACTGCACTCGGATCGTAAATTTACACACTACCAATCTCAAACAGAGCAACACGTGAGCATCTCCCACCTTGAAACTGAGCCCAGGGTAATGGATCATTATTGTGACATAAAACAGTGAGAATCATATACCCAACACACACACACACATGCTCACACGTGGACAAAGGGTAGTTGTAAATGTGAATGGTCGATCCTGCATTGATTCTTTTTTGGGACCTACGGTTATTCTCCACTCTAAGTAGACCATTTTGTCACGGAAAAGTAGCACATTATTGATGATTCATTGACTGTTATCACCGTCAATTCACACAAAAATGTGGTATATGCTTCACTGGTCACAGACTGTCAACGAAGTGTACCCACTTCATAGTAGGCTGTGGTTAACTGAATGAGAAACAATCATGTGCACCACGGTCTGAGTAAACGATTGGTACGCTACAGGTCATGTGCAAATCCTCCTTCACCGTTTTATCTTCGCCGTCACAATTGTCATAACTATGCCTCCGGTGCATCATGGCAGGGATAAGCTGTTGTGGATGAAACTAGAAAAAAAA